GCATTCCAAGCTCCTGTCTTAGTTCATTGAATATGGCTTTATTCAATGGCTTGGTGAATATGTCATCCAACTGCTTCTCAGTGGGAATGTACTCTAGCTTGATGGTCTTCTTTTCAACATGCTCTCGGATAAAGTGATGCCTAATCTCAATGTGTTTGGTTCTTGAGTGAAATACTGGATTATGAGTGATAGCTATAACACTTGTATTATCACACAAAATGCTGATTTCCTTTGTTTCTTCTCCATAATCCTTCAATTGTTGTTTCATCCATAGGATTTGAGCACAACAACTGCCTGCAGCTATGTATTCAGCTTCAGCAGTGCTAGTAGCAATTGAATTTTGTTTCTTGCTGAACCAAAAGACAAGTCTTCCACCAATTAATTGACAGGTACCTGATGTACTTTTTCTATCAATTTTGCACCCGGCAAAGTCATAGTCTGAATATCCATAGAGGTCAAAACCTCCATTTGTTGGGTACCATAATCCAGAGTTAGGATTGCCTTTTAGATACCTCAGTATCTTCTTTGCAGCTAGGAGATGGCTTTCTTTGGGCTTTGATTGAAACCTTGCACATACACCAACTGAGTAGGATATGTCTGGCCTACTAGTGGTGAGATATAACAAGGAGCCAATTAACCCTCTATAGAGGGTAGGATGAACATCTTTGCCATCTTCATCCTGACTTAAACCTTGGGATGTATTCATGGGAATTTTCACAGTGGACTTGTTCTCAACTTTGAACCTTTTCATAGATCTCTTGTGTACTTAGCTTGGTTGATAAAGATATCATTTAGAGTCTGCTTTACTTGTAATCCCAGAAAATAATTCAACTCTCCCATCATGCTCATTTCAAATTTACTTTGCATGAGAGTTGAAAATTTCTCACATAATGCTTGATTTGAACTTCCAAGGATTATGTCATCAACATAGATTTGAACAAGCAATGTGTGGGGACCTTCTTCAGTTTTGAATAAAGTCTTGTCTACTTTGCCTTGAGTGAATCCATTCTTCACTAAATATTCAGAGAGTGTCATACCATGCTCTTGGGGCTTGCTTGAGTCCATAAAGAGCCTTGTGCAATTTGTATACTTGATCCTTCTCTCTATTGATTTCAAAACCAGGAGGTTGCTCCACATAGACCTCCTCTTCTAGTAGACCATTTAGGAAGGCACTTTTCACATCCATTTGATAGACTGTGAATTGCTTATGAGCAGCATAAGCCAAGAAGATTCTTATAGCTTCCAATCTGGCAACAGGAGCAAAGGTTTCATCAAAATATATACCTTCTTCCTGGCAGTAGCCTTTGGCTACCAATCTTGCCTTATTCTTGACTATGGTGCCTTCCTCATCCATTTTGTTCCTGAACACCCATTTAGTTCCTATCACATGTTGATGATAAGGTTTGGGTACAAGTTCCCATACATTGTTTCTCTCAAACTGATTGAGTTCCTCTTGCATGGCTTGTATCCAGTCTAAGTCGAGTAGGGCTTCTTCAACTTTCTTGGGTTCAATTTGAGAGATGAATCATAAGAAAAGTGCTTCTCTCTGAATTGCTGATCTCGTACGAACCCCTGCATTGATATTTCCAATGATTTGGTGAGGAGGATGTTTGCTCAACCATCTAACATCAGATGTGGTTGTTGTTGAAGACTACTTTATTGTGAATCAAGTTTGTCTGTTTTGTCTGTAATAATTTAGATGTTTACTATTTCTGTTCTGCACTGATTAAATATATCTGTTAGAATAGTATTCAATATGGGCCAAGTGTTAGGCCCATACTTAGGCAAGAAGCCTTTTTACGCAGACCTGAGCCTCACCTATAAAAAGGGGCGGAGGACTCAGGTTTGCGGTTAACTTTCGTATCTGCTCAAAATAGCCTTAGCGCTTATCATTCTTGTACGAAAGGTTCACGGTATATCATAGAAGGTTTTCACTTGATCTTTCTGTGTTCATCTTTGTTGATAATCTTTCATCTGTATGCCATATTATACTGTTGTTATAGAAAACAGGGATCAACAAATGGTATCAGAGCCGATCGAGAGCTGATCAGAAGAACTATCTTCGAAAGACTCTATTTTTTGTAGAATAGCGAGTTTATCATCTGTAATCTTATTTCTGCACCAAATGTTGTAAAAGTTATACTGTTAGAATCGCGTTTCAAAGACGATCCAGCAGTATATCTTCCTTTTTCGTTTCCGCATTTTTTCGTTCTCTGTAAACTCGCACCCAAGAACTCGCATCCCTCGTTTCTCTAAGCTCTGTGCAGCTTTTTGACCTGAAACTTGGGTAAAAGGATCTCTACAACAAGGGCTACAACCTACCATTTTTGTTTTTCTGAAAATCTGAAGTTTTGTTTTTTCAGGAATTCGCAACCCAAGGTGTTATTGCATAAACTCGCAGCTGCAAACTCGAGTTGAGAAACTCGCTGTCTGCAAACTCGAGCTCAAGAACTCGCGTTCTACAACTCGCAGTCTACAAACTCGCAGTCTGCAAACTCGCAGTCTGACCAGGAGTTTTGACCCTGCGAGTTTACACCTCGAGTTTTGGAAACTCGAACTCTTGACCTCGAGTTCATAAACTTGAACTCTCACCTCGAGTTCCCCAGACCTCGAGTTTAGGCTTTTAATACTCAGGAACTCGAGTTCTTGACTTAGTAAATTTTCTGATCTTATTTCTCGAACGGTCAGTTTTCTACAGCTACAGGAATGGCTTCTGAATCCAATGCGCAAGGAAACAGCAGTACTCCTCCATCTCTGAGGAAAGGGGAGTACCAAATGTGGAGAACTCGTTTCTTGAATTTCCTAGAACACAAAGAAAACTCCGACGCAATGCTGGAATCACTCCTGGAAGGACCAGCTGTTCTAATGATTGACGTAGGAGGGGACTCAACTAATAATCCACCCATTCCTCCGGAAACAAGACGAAAGAGGCCATCTGAATACACTGAAGCAGACAAGCTAAGGCTGAGAGGAGACCTTATGGCCAAATCATACCTCCTCCAAGCCATCCCCAATGAAGTGTACGTGATGATTGACAGTATGCAAACTGCAAAAGAAATGTGGGATGAGATTGAAAAATTACTCCAAGGCACGAGCATAAGCCTAAAAACCAAGAAATCTGCTATTCTAATGGCTTATGACTCGTTCAAGGCTGCTCCTGGAGAACCTCTTCACGAGACTCATGCCAGGCTTGTGAAGCTGATGAATGAAATGAGGAAAATCAAAATATTCAGAACCAACCTGGAACTGAATACTAGATTTCTGTCCAGTCTGCACCCATATTGGAGTAAAACAGTAAAGGACTTGATACAACGCATTGACATGGATGAAATTGATCTTTTCACCTTAAATGAGCTGTTAAAGGAGTTCGTCAATGACGTTGTATGCACTGAGGAACAATCAAGCCCAAATCCTCTAGCTCTACTGATGGAAGCTCAGCCCAAAAGAACAGCGAAACCTCTGCAGAAGAAGAAAAAGAAAGTAGTGGAGGTTGAATCTGATGAAGATGAGAGTGATGAAGAAGGAACTGATCTTGAAGCTGAGCTTGCAGATCTCCAGAAGAAGATGGCCCTGCTGGCCAAGAAGTTTGCCAAGAGGAACAGCTCTTCAAATAAGCTGCGAACCTCTTCTTCCAACTACAAACAGAAGAACCAGGACCAAAGCTCAGCCAGGAAGGCTACATCAACTGCTAATACCCCTGTGTGCTATAACTGTGGGAAGCCTGGACATATCAGCAAAGACTGTCGGCTTCCAAAGAAGAGAGATGCAAACTTCTACAAACAAAAGATTTTGATGAATAAACAAAAGCTCTTCTTGGCACAACAGGAGGAAGTAGAAGCCTCTGGCAAACATGCTGAGCTGGTCCAGTGGGCGGAAGATGATACTGAAGAATAAGAAGAAGAAGAAGAAGAAGAAGAAGAAGAAGAAGAAGAGGAAGAGAACTTCGCTTTGATGGCAAGGCTGGAGGATGAAGAAGAGAAAAAGGGTGATGCTGCGATCCTCGGAAGTGAATGCTCTACAAGCACTGTAAGTACCTCTAATCACTCTCACACTATACAAACTCAGTCCTTACACAATAAGGACAACCTCATTAAAGAACTGCAGGAGAGATTAGACAATAATTACAGGGTACTGAAACAGAACCTTGACCAAAAATCTTCCTTAAGCGTTCAACTTGAAAATGCCAAAGATCAAATCAAAAGGGTATCCTCAGACTTTGAAAGCTTTGAACTTAAAATAGCTGAACTGACTAAGAAACTGCAAGACAGTGAAGTTGAGAAAAACACAGCCAAAGCTGACTGTGAATTTTTAAGGAATAAAAGAAGCAGCCTTTTAAGCAAAGTAAAGGAACTTGAGGATGTATGTGTCAGAAGAGGTCAAACCGAACATACATTTTTTCTAAATCGTATAAGCGACGTTCAGCATTACAACCCAAAAGCTGGTCTTGGACTGCCAAACCCGTGTCATTTAAAGAAAGTTGACTGCCGCCAGTTGTATGATGCAACTTACTTAACTCTAGACATTGAAAAGAAAATGAAATTTGGAAGTGAAGAAGAAACCACTAAAGAAGAAGAAGAGAAAAGGAGTAATCCTAAAATTGAAACTTCTTTTGACTATACTCCTCTGGTTGAGAAAGCTCTTTCTAAAGAAAAAGTAATCTACAACGAGGAGGGGTTTGACATTTTTAATGTCCCAAAAGGGGTTCCTTATTTCAAAAGTCCAATGGGTCCCACTCCCAAAACTGGAATTTTTAAGTCCGGACAGGACAAATGCATCTCTCCGTTGGTCCAAAAATATGAGGATCTTCATAAAACCCTTGACAATGAGAGAGAGCGTTTTGAAACTGAAAAGAAAAGTTCTGAAAGCAATTGGCAAGAACTGTTAAGCAAATTTGATGAATTGAGTGAAAAATATCATTCTGTTTTAAAAACTGCTCAAACCTCTTCTGATAAAATTAAATCTTCTGAAAAATCTGCCACTCATCGCTCTTCTCCTTTTGTCACGGGACAAGAAGTGAAAAGAAGAGGAGAAGAGAAGAAGCGCGCCTGGAGCGCCTGAAATCGTTTGAGAGAGTCTCTCTCCTGGGTCTCCGACCTAGCTCGATTTCCGATCAATTCATGGCATGTGTCTCCCGCTTCGTGCGATTTCCGGTTGGAAGCTGTGGTTATTCTTGCTGATTGGTAGTCGGATTCACTGGAATCTCAGATTGGAAGGTGACTTTTAGCGAAACAACGAAGAATGCAGACCTATTGCGGCGAACTACGAACTTGGTTTGGTTCGCTCTGCTTTTTCGATTCTGACTGATAATCTGTATTTGTGCTACTGATTTGAGGGTCATACGTTATTTTAGCTTGTTTGTTCGATGACGGGCCCTGCGATTTTGGCCTTTACTTTTGAGTATGTTAGGTTCAATGATTGTTGGGTTTTGTCTGCTGCGATTTTTGACTGCTGCGATTTTTGGGTTTTGACTGCTGCGATTTTTGGGTAATTAAGGCTCTGCGTTTTCCGATTGTTGGCTATACTCGGTTTGGGTTTTGACTGCTGCGTTTTTTGGCTCTGCGTTTTTGGCATCTGCGTTATTGATTACTGCTCTCTATCTGATTTTGGGGGGGACGAAACAGGCTAGGCAGTCTGTTATGGGGAAAAAGAAAACAACAGACTGTGTTTCTTCCTCCAGACTTACCAGGTCTAAGGCTGGAAGTTTTGAAATTCTGGCAGATTGTGATGAGGATTTCCCTACTTTGGGACAATCTTTAGCTTCAAGTTCTGAAATGGCTGGTAGGCCTGCTTCAAATCTGACTGCCACAGGGGGTTCTACTGCTGTAAGTTTGATTACTGGGAAGCCTACTCAGTCAAGGGAACAGCCTCCTGCTGTGGAAAACACTGCTGCGGGAAATGGGACTCCTGGAACTAAAAAGGGTGCTGCTGCACAAACTGATTTGGATGCTACTGCAGTTCAACTACCTGCGGTTAAGCAGCCTGAATTAAAGGGTCAAACTACTACTCCCACTCCGTGGAATGCCTTATTTAAAGACAACCGTGACCCTAGGCATGGAATCAAATTGAGATATGTACCCCCCAAAGGAGATACATTGGACTTTGGGGACCGTTTATTGCCATCCATGGTTGATATGTGGGGTTATTGCCTAGTTGGACACTTCACCGGGAAATTCCCCGGACTCAAAGCGGTTCATGACCTGAAAGCTAAATGGAGTGTTCCATGCCTTGTGAGATCCCATAAAAGAGGTTGGGTGATCTTTAAATTTCATAATGAGGATGATAGATCTAAAGTACTACTTGGAGGACCATACATTGTGTTTGGAAAACTCCTTATGCTCAAGGAACTCTCGGAGAATTTTTCCTTTGAAGAAGAGGAATTTCTAAAGGTTCCTATTTGGGTCAAATTCCATGATCTACCATTACAATTATGGAATGATGAGGCCATGAGTGAGGTGGCATCCATGGTGGGGGTTCCATTAACTACTGATAAGATCACCCAAGAGAGGATTAACAATGATTACGCTAGAGTCTTGATAGAGGTTGACGTGTCTAAGCCACCACCACTTTCGTTTCCTATACGACTACCCTCCCATAAGGTAATCAAACAAAGTGTGGTTTATGAAACTTTTCCTAGTTATTGTTTTCATTGCAAAGATTTTGGGCACAACCCATTTATTTGTAAGAAGTTTTCTAAAAGTGGGGCTGGGGTTGAAAAGGAAAAGGAAAAAAATGTTGTTACACTTGATGGAATTGAAGGTCTTGGTGTTGCTTCAGGTCGGTCAGATTCTGCCCAGGGGCTTAACCCGACCGGGTTGGCCCCAAACCCGACCGGGCCTCCACTTTCTGCCCAGGTTCCTACCATGGACCCGACCGGGTCTGGCAGACAGAATGCTAAACAGGGGCCTGCTTCCCCGGCTATTGATCAACGCCCAACCGTGCTCCCGACTGGTGACCAGATTGATGCTATGGCGAGGATAGTGAGTACAGAAGGTGAGTTGAAAAAAGATGATGTGGTCTTTAAGTGTGATATCATAGATGGTAAGACACTCAATTTGTTTGTCAAACCATTTAGACACGTCCGAGCTAGTGTCACTAGAGTGGATAGATTCCTTCAACTTACGGATGATTTGGATAAGAGGGGCCTAACTTTCACCGATCAGTGTATGGAGAGTTTGCCGGGATTTACTATGAAGAAAGGGGAGGTTGCTTTTGGCGCAAAGTTTACTAATCCTTTCCATGTTTTCTTTGGATGTTAAGCTTGATACTCCTAATTTTTGGTGAACTGTTTTTGCTGATGTTTAATTGTTCCTATGAATCTCTAGGTTCAATTTGTTGAGTTTTTGTGATTCCTGTCTTGACGTTGTGATATCCCTTTTTTTTTCGGGATATGCACTTTGCTTGTAACATTGAATTGTTATTTCTTTGGGTGTTAATATATACTTACATTTCATCCAAAAAAAAAGAGGAGAAGAGAAGAAAGAGTGGGAGATAAAAAGAAAGGAAATAGCTGCTGGCAAGAAGAAAGTTTTTGAGAATAAACCTGGTCCCAGATCCAGCTCCATTTTGTACTCTAAAACTAAGTCTAAGTCTGTCCATGTAAACTCAGCTTCTAGTAGTTCAGTCTTCAGTCCCAAGCTGAAAAACTCTGGGACATCTTTTGAACATGGCTCAATGTATAATTCTACTATTGCTTATGGTTATTCTATTCCAGACCCCCAAAACTATGCATGTGATGTGAATGCTGTTAAATCAAAGCCTTTTAGAAAGCTCAAACCTGAAAGAGAAACCAAGAAAGGAACTTCTAAGGGAACGTTTTGTATTCCCGATATGAAATATTCTCTTAGAGTTCATTCAAGGAAACATCTTAATCGGCTTTCTAAAGAGGAGATTTTCAAAACTAAACTGAAGAAACAACCGTTCAATCACAAAGCACCTGTCTACTCTCCTCCTAAACCTAAAATGGAAAGGTGGGTCCCCAAGATAAGACCCACACAAACTGAAACAGAAAGGTGGGTCCCCAAGATGAGACCTACCAAACCTGAAACTGAAAGGTGGGTCTCTAAGATGAGACCTACCAAACCAGAAACTGAAAGGTGGGTCCCTAAGATGAGACCTACCAGACCTGAAACTGAAAGGTGGGTCCGCAAACGAAGACCCATCCAAACTGAAACTGAAAGGTGGGCCCCCAAATTCAGACCAACCAGAACTAAAATGGACAGGTGGGTCCCCAATCTCAGACCCACCAGAACTAAAATAGAAACTGCTAAGTGGGCTCCAAAAATCAGACCCACTGCAAAAGCAGATCTGACTATCGGAAAGCCCACAAGAGATAGATCTTTTGTTGAAAGAGCTGCTGACCTTGGATCACAGCTCAAAGCAAAACTGAAAAGGGTGTTTTTCATTGATAAGGAAGGACCCATTCCAAGATGGGTACCTAAACCTGTTTAATTGTTTTGCAGGACGGTCATGTGTGACACTTGGATTCTGGATGCTCAACCCACATGACCGGAATAAAGTACCTACTGAGCAACTATACCAACTGTTATGGAGGCAATGTTAGATTCGGGAACGACGCCTCATCTCCTATTCTTGGATATGGGGATGTCATCTGTGCCAGCGTCACCATCAAGGATGTCTCATTTGTCAAAGGGCTCAAACACAATCTTCTGAGCATAGGACAATTCTGTGACAGTGGGATGGAAGTGAGGTTCTTTGCCAAACAATGATGTGTTCTAGACAGCGAAGGGAACTCATTATTAACGTGTTACAGGACCTCAAACCTGTACACTATTGATCTGAAAAGCGTTAAATCCACCACTTCCATCTGTCTGCTGTCCAAAGCTTCAACAGAACAAAACAACCTCTGGCACAGACGTCTTTCCCATCTCAATTTCAAGAATCTGTCCATCCTGTCATCGAAGAAACTTGTGAAGGGGCTTCCTCCGTTGAAGTCTTCTGCTGAGAATCATTGTAGTGCCTGCAAAATGGGCAAAATGACGAGAAGCTCCCACAAGTCAAAGCCTGTCCCATCATCTACTCTACCGCTGCAACTGATACACATGGATCTGTGTGGACCTATGAGAGTCCAAAGCATCAACGGCCGCAAATACACACTGGTGATCGTTGATGACTTCTCTAGGTACACATGGACAAAATTTCTTCGTAAAAAGGACGAGGCAGCAGAAATCATTATGACCTTTGTCAGAACAGTCCACAAACTACTGCAGCAAAGTGTTCGAATCATCAGAACTGACAACGGTACCAAGTTCAAGAATCAAACTCTCACTGGATTCTATGAATCTCTCGGTATCACACAGCAATTTGCAGCAGCCAAAACCCCCCAACAGAATGGAGTGGTTGAAAGAAAGAACAGGACCCTTGTCGAAGCGGCACGCACCATGCTCATCCAGTCAAGATTGCCACACTTTATGTGGGCAGAGGCCATTAATACGGCGTGCTACACCCTAAACAGAACATCTATCCACAAACGCTTCGACAAGACCCCATATGAAATCCTCTTCAACCGAACTCCGGATATCTCATTCTTCAAGATATTTGGCTGCAAGTGCTTCATACTGAATGACCGAACTGATAGAGGTAAGCTAGACGCAAAAGCCCAAGAAAGGGTGTTCATTGGCTACTCACAGCAGTCCAAAGCTTACAGAGTCTATCTTAGGGACAAGCGAACGGTCATTGAGAGTGTGAATGTGACATTCTATGAGATGGCTGACTTCGCAACGGAACACTTACAGGCTGACCCGTCACTTGCTGTACCAACGGACTCTGACACAGTTGAACCAAATCCTGTACCTGAAGGTGTGATTCTCAATTCTCTCTTTCAGAACTTCTACGAAAATTCACAACCCTCATCATCTCCATGCACACCAGCTTCATCGTCAACTACTCCCCAGCAACCGACTCCTTTCACTGAAATTCCACTCCTTCTCGGATCAAATAATGAACCATCTACTCCGTCAACTCCCCAACCTAATCACGGAGGAGTGGATGATCACGGTTTTGCTACCACATCAGAGTCATCTCCACCGCACACCACAGCTGATCAAGAGTCACCAATCCCCTACCAGGACTCGGATCAACCGATCATTACTCCTAATCCTCTGGCACATGAGAGGAAATGGACAAGAGCTCACCCCACTGAACAAATAATCGGTGATCCAGGTCAAGGTGTGCGTACGAGATCGGCTACTATGAATGAATGTCACTATGCATGCTTTCTAAGCCAGAATGAACCGTCCAAAGTCTCAGAGGCACTCGCTGATCCAGATTGGGTGATTGTCATGCAAGATGAGCTCAATCAGTTTGACAGACTAGAAGTGTGGTCACTCGTGCCTAAACCCCCTCAGAAAACCATAATTGGCACCAAATGGGTGTTCAAGAACAAGAAGGACGAAGAAGGCATAGTGATACGCAACAAGGCACGGCTGGTCGCTAAAGGATACAATCCGCAAGAGGGCATAGACTATGATGAAAAGTTTGCACCCGTAGCAAGAATTGAAGCAATACGCCTCTTTCTTGCGTACGCGGCCCACAAGAACTTTACCGTCTTTCAAATGGACGTCAAGACTGCCTTTCTGAATGGAGTCTTGGAAGAAGAAGTCTATGTCGCTCAGCCCGAAGGATTTGTAGATCCCAGATATCCTAACCATGTGTACAAGCTGAAGAAAGCTCTGTATGGGCTGAAACAGGCACCAAGAGCTTGGTACGATGCCTTAACTGAATTTCTGGTTGACTCAGGTTTCTCAAAAGGGAAGATTGATACCACACTTTTCATCAAGCGACAGAAGTCTGACATCATCCTGATTCAGATCTATGTTGATGACATTATCTTCGCCTCCTCAAATCCACGTCTGTGCAAACATTTTGAGAAACTAATGAAAACTAAGTTTGAAATGAGCATGATGGGAGAGCTGAATTTCTTCCTAGGCCTGCAAGTAAGACAACTCTTTGACAGCATTTTCATCAATCAGTCCAAGTATATTCTGGAAATGCTTAAGAGATTCAACATCGATAGCAAATCTTCCATGACGACCCCTTTGTCCCCTACATTTAAACTGGACTCAGACCCCTCTGGGAAGCCAGTCGATGCCACAAACTATAGGGCCATCATTGGATCTTTGCTATATCTCACGTCTAGCAGGCCTGATATCGTCTTCTCTACATGCTTATGTGCACGCTTTAGAGCGAATCCAAAGGAGTCCCATCTGACCGCTGTTCGAAGAATACTGAGATACCTCAAAGGCACTGTGAATCTAGGCCTTTGGTATCCCAAGCACTCAGGTTTTGACCTAGTCGGATACTCTGACGCAGATTTTGCTGGTTGCCGGATGGACCGCAAAAGTATATCGGGAGCTGTCCAGTTCTTGGGCGATAAGTTAGTCTGCTGGTCTTCCAAGAAACAGAACTGTGTGTCAACATCTACGGCCGAGGCAGAATACGTCGCGGCTGCTAGCTGTTGTTCACAAATATTATGGATGAAGACCCAGCTAAAAGACTACGGTTACACTTTCTGCCATATCCCGATCTACAGCGACTCACAGAGTGCCATCGCCATCACCAGCAACTCGGTTCATCACTCCCGCACCAAACACATCGACCTGCGCTATCATTTCATCAAAGACCACGTGGAAAAAGGGGATATTGACATGTACTTTGTAAGCTCCGAGCTTCAACTGGCTGATTTGTTTACTAAGGCACTGGATGAAAAGAGATTCCAGTTCCTGGTTTCCAAATTAGGCATGTTGAACCTCGAGCCTTTGTAATTTTGTTTCCACTGGTCTGTAAAAAGGGGTGTGCGTGTGTGGGACTTGTACAAAGTGTGCGTGCGTGTGTTTGTAAATAGTGTGTGTGAGTTGTTTTTTTTGTATTGTGTGCGTTGCATGTGTCCTGGGGGAGAAACCCGAGAAAAATACAAAAATAGTGTGTGTGCGTTTGCATTCATCGAGGGGGAGAAAAAGGGCAAAAAGATCAAAAAATAGTGTGCGTGAGTTGCATATAGTGTGTGTGCATTGCATTCATCGAGGGGGAGAAAATTAGAAAAATCTCAAAAATAGTGCGTGTGCTGTTTTCAGCAAGGGGGAGTACTGTATTTGGTCTGAAATGAGTCTTTAAACCCTTAAGACCAAATGGGCCCAGCTACCCGGTTCTGGCCCAATTTTTTTTCCCAGGCCCGTTCCTACAACTCGCGTATTTAAACCGATTTTTATCTCCTTCCTCCTCATTCCTTAAGCTTCCTTCTCGCATCCCCTCAGTTCTCGAAAACCAGAGCTCGTCTTCCCAACTTCACTCCCTCTCAACATTTCTCCCCCAAACTCTTCTCCGAGGTAGCAACTCGTTCTTCTTCACACCAATTCACTCTGCCTTTCTCGAACGCCACCATGAACGGTCCCAAAACCAAAAACACATTTTTTCTCAAAATAACATTTACAAAAAGGGTTTTTGTTGAATGTGTATTGATTTATGCTTTTACAGGTGGTTATCGTCTTCGTTGGGCAAAAACGCGAGTTCTGCAACTCGAGTTAAAACGCCCGGTTTCAAATTCCGGCGTTTCAAATTCGAGGACAGACCGCGAGTTTGTAAACTCGCCCTCATGGGCTCGAGTTTGTAAACTCGCGCTCATGGGCTCGAGTTTGTAAACTCGCGCTCATGGGCTCGAGTTTGTAAACTCGCGTCCATGGGCTCGAGTTTGTAAACTCGAGTCCATGGGCTCGAGTTTGCAAACTCGAGTTCATGGGCTCGAGTTTGCAAACTCGCGTCCATGACCTCGAGTTTGTAAACTCGCGTCCATGACTTTGAGTTTGTAAACTCGCGCTCATGAGCTCGAGTTTGTAAACTCGCGCTCATGGCCTCGAGTTTGTTAACTCGCGCGCATGGGCCCGAGTTTGTAAACTCGTGTCCATGACCTCGAGTTTTATAACTTGGTGCCAGAACTCGTTTCCTCATCTCTGAGATCATCAATCCCAAGGGGAAACTCATTTTTTTTGCTAACGTGTGCTATTCTTTCAGCTCAATATGTCAGGCACTCAACAAGATACCCCCCAGGAAGATGCACTCTACACACAGCTGTTCCCCAAATACAAGTGGGTTCGACTACAGGACAACAACTATCAACTCGACCTAGCCGTCTTCAGGTGCCCTGACCCAGTCATCCCTATCATCCTTAAGGGGCACTACATCTGGCCAGCACTCACCAAAGTTATCACGGTCCCCGAAATCTACCTGCAACAGCTATGGGGGACCATGCACATGCCTTCCAAGAACGACGCATCCAGTATCAGTGCCACGCTCCACAACAGACGGCTGGCATTAACAGCGTCCACTCTACGAACCACACTGGAGCTGCCTGTGCACGACACCTATGAACCGCTACCCTCAAAGGCTGAACTGATGCAAGGATTGGCGCAATTGGGATATGATGCACCACTGTCGTTCCTGTCTCACTTCAAGTTGATGAACCTGCCATACCCATGGAAGACATTGTTTGGCCTCGTCAACAAGTGCCTATCTCCAAAGCACGCTGGCCATGACAAATGCAACTTGCAAATTTTCCAAATCTTCCATGGAATCGTGTTCGCCAAAAACTATGACATGGCACAGCTGTTCTGGATCGAGCTGGTGACTCAAGTCCAGGACAAAGAGGACGGAAAGACGGGCATGACTATTCCCTACGCCAGGTGGTTGGCGCTCATCATTGCCGAATACATGACCGCTCACCCAGGGATTCCACAGCGCAGAGATGAAGATCAGTTCACTGCCCCCAAGCTCCAGTACTTCAAGCGCTTCAAGCATGACACTGTGGGGATGACAATACCAGACTATCTGCTGGACTTGGGCAATCCACGACACTCCGCAGTAGTCAAATATAGAGAGAGTTTACCGGAAGATGGCCCCACGGTTCAGCAAAACCCAGCTGGACCTGCCCCGGGGCCTAAGCCGAGAGCAAGTAAGGGTCCAACGAGAGCCCGTAAGCCACAGAAACCAGTGGTGCGTGTGCCCCATGAAGGGAAGTCTGACGATTCTCTCGAGAGGAATCAGACGGCTGAGGGCACACGTACAAACGCTGCGGAACCTGCCAATGAACCGTCCAGCCCGGCCAATAAAAAGGCTGACGATGAGGCATCCAATAGCGTGGCCAAAGATGATGACGATGCTGACGATGATGATGACAACGATGACATTGACGACGTGGAGCACACCTTTGCTCTAATCCAAAAGGGGAAGCTGCCACTTGATTCTCCTCCAAAGAAAGTCACCCCTGAGGATGCAGCTCCATTTATAGCTGTACGCCCCAAGACCATCGTCATCAAACCAGTGAAGGAGCCCGTTACAGCTAAGATTGCTGCTCCCCGTTCACCTAAGGCAAAGAAGCAGCGTCCTGTCAGAAAAAGTTTGGTCGCTGAAGAGGACCTACACATCTTTGACGACTGTCTTCCCTTCATCACTATAAGCCGGGCCGAATCTTTAAGTACAGGGGCCAATCTTGTTGGTCCCCGGGTAGAAGCCGCAGCATCAGGCTCAACTGCGCATGCACCGCCCTCTCCCAGCCACTCGTTAGCCTCCCAAAAGGCTAACGTTTCAACATCACGGGACTCACCCACCTCACTGGTTCCCTCTGAACCAGTTGAGCGCTCTAGTGGCCCACCGCCCGAGGCCACAACCCCCTCTTTCTCCACATCGAGTCTAGGTGTCACATTCCCCACATTTTCCAATTTTTCTAGGACACCTACACCATTCACAGCACATACAGGTGCACACACCCTGGATACAACGACCGGAGTGCAAACAATGATGGTCGGAAGCCCTGCTGTGCCAAAAATGACTTCATCTTTGAACGCAGGTCACACATCAGCTCTCTTCACTGATGCTGTGACAACAGTTACAACCCCCGTAACTGGACCCCTTACACCCGAAGACGTTACCGTTCTCATGAACCGCTACATGGAGTCCACCATCAAACCATGGGTGCAACAAGCATTCACCGCTTGGGCACAGGACTCCAAGACAACCCCAGCAGTTCATAGTGAACAGAGCCACCCCAAACGTCACTCTTCACCCTCTCAATCAATTCCACAACCCACTCCTGTCATCCCTATCACCTCCACCAAACCCCTTAGCCCTTCACCCTCTCGGGGAACCCACGATACAGAACTAGTATCGCCCTCTGCCTCGACCAATCCCTTCCACCTATCCCGTCTTGAGCTTGCCGATCTCCTGTTTCTTCGGTAGCTGGAGGTCGACACTTGCAACCTTACACCCTTCGAGTGTGACCTTCTCCAAGTTTTCCTCAACCACGACCGCCCTCAATACGGCACTTGCCGTGACAGTCCTCGAGGCCTCAAACGTTCCCATGAGGATCCCGATGATTCGGAACCTCATGAGGGGGAGAACAAGAGACCTCGGACACTTGAGCAAGCAGCCTCTACCAGCCATGAACCCCAGCCAAACACCTCATCAAACCAGCCCACCAACCAACCACCACCTTCCTCGAGCCACAACCAAGCCCAACTCTCTAGCCTGGTCGAGCTAGATGAAACATCCCGAGGCTTATCTCCTAGAGATACTGTCCGAGGAGGGGATGGAAGTCCTGTAGTGGTTACCTCTGGTACATCACAAAGCTCAGGCCATCGATCAGAACACAGTTCGAAATCGATGACAACATCCTGAGGCGTGTCTCCAAAGGATACCGTCCGAGGAGGGGATGGAAGTCCTGACGATGCTATCTCTGATTCATCTGTCAAGTCAGGCCATCAGCCAGATCTCAGTTCTAACCTGATGACAACGGGCAATCCTAGTGAACCCGGTTGTGCTTCACGAGAAAGATCACCGCAGCTGAGAGTCCCTTACATTCCCCAAGGCAAAGATATTCATGATGCACTCGAGGATGCTGTGGTACATGACGTTTGGCCGAGAAAGTGGACAGAGTGGGATGATCTTAGATGCGAAGCTGAGACAGAGGATATGCAACGAAATTGGTGGCTGAGAGAGTTGCTGGCCAAATGCGCAGAAGATATCATACGCCTTGATGAAGAGGAACTCAAAGAAGGGGAGGACTATAAAAAGATACCCAGGGAGCTAGAATCCGTCATAAGACAAACGGCAGGCAAGTTGCCCCCAAAAGAAAAGATCTGGGAAAACATCAGAATAAATGCCCCCTTCCAAGAGGAAATCAGAAAGGGAATTTGGAGAACCGCAGACAAGCTCAAACAGCTAGATGAACTAAAGATCCGTGGCTTGACTCACCTTAAGGGAAAACTGGCTGTCGGACATCTTCACATGCTGATGCACAGATCATCTGGAAAACAACGACAAATACTGGAAAGAGATATGAAGTCCAGCATCCATCCTATTGACGCTATCCTTGATATACACAGAGAAGATCATCACACCATCCCGTTCTACAGCTTCAAAGTTCGACGAACAGACTCCAGCATATTCATCTGCCAGGAAAATGACTTTATAATGATGAAGATGGAGGATATCTACCAAATGTTCATGGTAAGTAGGTATCTCTCACTGAGTCGAAACAGGACACACGAAGAAGGTTATGAGGCGATCAAACGGTTTATGCTGAGACAGATCAGATTCTATGCTGCCCATGATCTACAGATGGCCCTGGAAAACAATGTCCGAAAAGCAAATCTGGTAAAGCCAACTCTGAACGGTCCAGAGCTCAAAAAGTACAGACCATATCATATCTTCAAGGACCCTGTCTCTATCATATATCTCAATCACGAGGAACAGAAAAGACTCATGTGGGTAGAAGACATTCACAAATACTGTGATGGGACTCTGAAGATCATCCAGACCAAGCTGCAAGAGATCAAAGAGAATATAGATCCAAGACTTGCGGATGCCAGCGAGGAAGAGCTCCTAGTATACGAGAAGGTGTGGACCATCCTAAAGCCCATCAACGAGCAACTTGAAAAGAGAAGAATGCTGAGACAGTATGAGCATGCGCTAAATTTCAGAAAGCATTACTTCAGATCTCAAAAATAAATGCAAGACGGCACTTGATCACAAAGGGGGAGATTGTTGAAGACTACTTTATTGTGAATCAAGTTTGTCTGTTTTGTCTGTAATAATTTAGATGTTTACTATTTCTGTTCTGCACTGATTAAATATATCTGTTAGAATAGTATTCAATATGGGCCAAGTGTTAGGCCCATACTTAGGCAAGAAGCCTTTTTATGCAGACCTGAGCCTCGCCTATAAAAAGGGGCGGAGGACTCAGGTTTGCGGTTAACTTTCGTATCTGCTCAAAATAGCCTTAGCGCTTATCATTCTTGTACGAAAGGTTCACGGTATATCAGAGAAGGTTTTCACTTGATCTTTATGTGTTCATCTTTGTTGATAATCTTTCATTTGTATGCCATATTATATACTGTTGTTATAGAAAACAGGGATCAACAGTTGTTTTAGATTGAATTTGTTGTTCATCATCCTCCTCTTCTTCCTCTTCACTATCATCTGGTAGAATAGGAAGATTGGGAATGTCATGAGTGCTTGGAAGGTTGTCTTTTGGTGAGTCACCTGCTGGCAGTGGGCTGTCAGTTGAGTCAACTGCTGGCATTTGGTTGCCATTTGAGTCAACTGCTGGCAATCGGCTGCCTTTTGAGTCAACTGCCTTTCCATCCTTTTTAACACTATTATTTGGAAGGCAGCTTGGAGCCTTTCCAGTGTCCCTTGATTTTGATGACTCACCTTCATCTTTTACTTGAGCAGTGGGGTGGTTTTCAAATACCACATGGATTGATTCTTCTACCACCAGAGTTCTTTTGTTGAGAATCCGGAATGCCTTGCTAGTTGGTGAGTAGCCCAGGAAGATACCTTCATCAGATTTGGGATCAAATGACTTGAGATAGTCTTTTCCATTGTTTAGGATAAAGCATTTGGATCCAAACACATGGAAATGACTGACATCAGGCTTCCTTCCTTTCCATAGCTCATATGGTGTCTTTTTGTGAGTCTTATGAATAAGACTTCTATTTTGAGTGTAGCAAACAGTGTTGATTGCTTCTGCCCAAAATCTTTTGGGTAATCCAGTTGCTTCTAAGATTGTCCTTCCTGCTTCCTTGAGAGTTCGGTTCCTTCTTTCAGCAACACCATTTTGTTGAGGTGTTCTTGCTGCTGAGGTTTGATGATCGATTCCATTTTCTTCACAGTACTGAATTATGATGGAGTTGAGAAATTCAGTACCTCTATCTGACTTGATCTTCTGGATTGAGAGACTTTTCTCATTTTGAATTAGCCTCATCAATTCAGGCAGTTTCTTCTCTGTTTCATTCTTCTTCTTTAAGAATATGGTCCAAGTGTATCTAGAATAATCATCAACTACAACCAGGGTGTACCTTCTACCACTTAAGCTTGTTGGTTCAACTGGTCCAAACAAGTCAAGGTGTAGTAGGCTTAAGGGCCTAGTTGATGATTCCACTTCTTTTGATTTGAATGATACCTTGGTTTGTTTCCCTTTTTGACAAGCATCACAGATGTGGCCCTTTTTGAAGTTGATTTCAGGGAGTCCCTTCACCAAACCTTTTCTGGACAGTTTGTTGTTTGTTTTGAAGTTTAGATGGCTTAATTTGTTGTGCCATTCCCAACTTAAGTTTGAATCTGCCTTTGTCACTAAGCAGATTCCTTCATTTGCAGAGTTCCAATCAACAATGTACATGTCCTTCTTCCTTCTACCAGTGAGCACAATTTTGTCATTTTTGACATCTCTAATCAAGCAGATGTCTTTGTAGAATGTAACATTAAAGCCATTGTCACAGAGCTGGCTTGTGCTTATGAGATTGAACTTTAAACCCTTAACATATGATATGTTTTGGATTGTAAGTCCATTAATTGATAAGTCTCCAGCTCCTTTGGTTTCTCCTTGTTTTTCCACATTCCCAAATGTTACTTTGGGTCCTTCCTTTGCTGTATAGTTTGACAGGAGCCGCCTGCTGTCCGTCATGTGCCTAGAGCAACCTGAATATATGAACCATGTTTGTGTTTCAGCTGCTCCAGCACCTTCCTGCATAAATTATTGTTGAGCAGTAGCCCACAGGTTAGTGGGCGACTTCCCTTGTACAAGTTTAGGCATCCATGCCCATCTAGAACCATTGAGTTCTAAGCAGATTGGTCTATAGCCATTTGAGGTGTTGTAATCAAAAGGAATGGCTATATACTTGTTAATCCTTTTTCTCTTTGAGGTGAGAAGTGGATTATTTGTTTGAGGAGTCTTCTTGGTATTTTGGATGTGGTTGGTCTTATTGATTGGTTGCCAACAGGTTCTTTGGTTTAGATGGTGAGGAGGTGTTGATTTATACAGGTGTTTGGATTTTGGTTTAGGAGCAGGTTGGTTCCTTCTTTTGGGAACTTTTGGGGAATGATTTTTTTTTAGGTTAGCTTTCTTGTGTATGATTTGTGGCTTGTAGATGTGCAGTTTTGAGTGAGTCTGGTGGGGGATGAGTAACCAAGATCTCTTTTCTTCCTATTTTGAGTAACTTCAGCAGTAAGGTGAGAGGTTTTACTATTTGTGCTGGAGTTTCTCAGCTCTTTGTTCTCCTTTTCTAAGATGTCATTTTTGCTTAAGGCATCTAGTAATTTAGAATGAATGACCTTAATGTCTTGTTTCAGTCTATCATTTTCATCATTCAAGAGAACATGGTGATCTTGGACTTTTTGAAAATCTTGTAATAAAGATTCCAAAGTTATATTGTTAGGTCCAGAATCACTAGAGCTATAGGAAGAGCAGGATGTTACATCAACATCATTGTAGTGATTTTTAGCCATCAAGCATCTAGGAGAGCAGCTTTCATTATTTTCATTTGAGCTGGTGGAAGGTTCACTAATCCACTTGCTTCTCTCTGCAGTGAGCCAACTGCTGCCTTCTTCAGCCACCTGCCAGGATCCCAGGCATAAAAGTGCTTCCTCTGAGCTTTCGGATGAAGAGCTTTCATCACTTGAGCTGCTTTCATCTTCAGATTGGGGTTCCTCCTTTTTCTTTTCACTTACAAAGGCTTGTCTCATGCCTTTGAAGTCCTTCTTGTAACCAGCTTTGAGAGCATTCCCCTGCTGCCCTTGATATTTCTGGGCTAAGGGCAGAGGGCATTCATTTTTGTAATGTCCTGGTTGTCTACAGTTGTAGCACAAGATAGTTTCCTCGCTGGTTTGAGGTCTCCCTTGTCTCCTGTATGGCAGATTGTATGGTCTTTTTGGAGCAGTTCCCTCCTTTTTAATGAACCTTTTAAACTTCCTTACAAACATAGCAAACTTCTCGTCAGTAAGGAGGTTGTTGATGGATTTCTCTCTGGATTTTGAAGGGCCAGGCTCAGACACTAGAGCTAGTGTCTTGGATTCATCTTCCTTTTCTTCTTTTATTTCCTTCATCTCAAATTCATAGGCTTTGAGATCACTGAAAAGCTTATCAGTTGATAAGGTTCTTAGATCTCTGCTATCTCTCATAGCAGTCACCTTCATGTCCCATTTAGAGGGCAGGCCTCTCAAGACTTTAAGGGAAATCTCTTTTTGAGGTAGATCTTTCCCTAGGTCTGAGACCTCTGCAGCGATCTTTAGGAACCTGGATTCCATCTCATGGATGGATTCATTTTGCAGCATTTTGAAGTCCTCAAATTTCTTGAGGGCCATGGTTAGTTTTTTGTCTTTCTCCTGTTCATCACCAGCTCCAATTTTCGTGAGCTCATCCCAAACGTCCTTTGCAGTTTCACATTTCCTAATCTTGGGAAATATGGATTCATCAACAGATTTGAAGAGAATATCCTTGGCAATGTGATCAAGCTAAGGTTATTTCTCTTTCTGTCCTCAGTTGTCCATTCTAGTTTGGGCTTAGGAATGTACACATCCTCCCAGTCATCAGTTTTAGATGTGCTGACCTTCATTATCCTGATAGGTCCAGTAGTAATTACTTCCAGCATCTCATCATGTAAGGCATTGAGATGTGCCTTCATCCTTATTCTCCAATCATCAAATTTGTTTAAGTTGAATAGGAGGGTTTTGGCTAGTTGACTGTCCATTGTTTAGAAAGTGTTTGGGAGGAGAAGTGGCTTTGGATCTTTAGTTCAAAATAGTCAATAAATGAATCTAGGAACACTCCGCTCTGATACCACTTGATGGTCCCGGATAGGGTAAAAGTCTAGAGGGGGGAGGGTGAATAGACTTTTAAATCTTTTTCGACTTTTGAAAGTTTTCCCTCTAAGAGAGTTAATCTATAAACTTTTGAGAGATTTATAGATGCACAGCGGAAGTCTTTACCCTTTGTGTAATGAGTGTTTAGCCACTTTTTAACTTGGAGAGTGTTTGGCTTAGAATGCTAGCAGTTGGCTTAGCAGGTGGCTAAGAGCAGGGAACTGCTGAGGCAACTGCTCAGGAAATGCAGAGTGTATGATGAAGGTAGAGATCGTTGTTTGATGAGTATGGCGTGGCCTTTTGGTAAGTATGCTTAAATGAAGGGAGACTAGCTTTTTGCTGAAGCAGTGGACTCGGCAGTTGGGTGAATAAGAGGGAACTGCTGAGGCACCCGCTTGGGTCAAAAGCTTATTGGGTTAAGCAAACTTCTTGATGAGGTAGTGACAATCTGGTGATGTTTGAGATGTTGACATGAAACAAGTATATATGAGCAGAGGGCTCAGCAGTTGAGTGGACTCCAGGGAATTGCTGAGGCACCTGCTGTACTTAGAAGGTGAGTTTCAGAGAACTGAAATAGTGATCCTTTTAAGTGGTGTTGGTGCACGTTAAAGGTGTGAATCTGGTCTTAAAGAAAGTGAGTAATTAAGCAGTAGGATAAGCAGTTGGGTCAATTAAGACAACTGCTTAGGATTCTGCCGGCAAACTACAATCTTTATGTGAGAAGTGTTGGGTGTGTGCTTTGTTGACTGAAGTGAATTCAACACACGATATATCCTGGTTCAGAGGTGGTGTAATCCTCCTACGTCCAGTCCCACCCTCTTTCAGATGGATTTCACTAAAGTATTAAGCCCAATACACTTAGTGCCAATCTAGCCTTTACAACACTTAGGCCTAGATTGAAGGTTTTTCACGATGAGTATAGCACCACTCAAAGTTACTCAGTCCTTAGACTTTTCTCTAATGAACCAGTGGGGATCAAAAGGTACTCTATCTATCTACTTACACTGTAGGATCCGAACAACTGTTCTCCTAAGTGTTTACAACAATATGTGATTTGTTACAAGAAAGTTCTAACCTCCAACTAGGAACTAAACTTCTATGATGTAGCAATGAAGAGCTCGTATACTTGAAGTTTAGTGAAGCATGAGTCCAAGCAGAGAGTAAAGTTTAGAACTGCACTTTCTCTTTTGCTAGATATCTCATGTATACTTGTGATAGAAATTCTCTTTTTGGATGCTCAAAGCTTGGTTAGAAACTTTCGTTTCAGCCTATATTTATAGGCATCTCCTTTGAATTAATCTCATCCGTTGGTTAGGATGGATTAATCTTTGACGTTGAAATTCTGACAAGGACAAATTGTACATTCGTCTTCTTGTGCTGGAGCTTTAATTCGGG